TTGCTCAAATATAAGTTCAAGTTGAAGCTGAAGAAAATTAAAACAGGTCCATGAGGGCCAAAATACCACCTTGAGTGTATTCCGCTTGAATTTCAAGAATAATTTAAAAATGGATTTGACTTATTGAGCACTAATGACAGAAGACCTGATGAATTGTGCGATGCCATAAAGAAAATAATACATGAAGAGAACTGAAGATCGTTAAAAAGACAAGAAAGAAAGAAACGATCAGAGTGGGTGCTAGAGGTCACTCTGAAATTTGCCACATAGAGTAGCTAAAGCAAATGGAAGACAGGATGGCAGAAAAGAACGGAAGACCAGTTCAAAGGGAAGCTCTCGAAGACAAAGTATAAGGAAATGTGTAAGCACCTGGAGCCAGCCAGCCAAAGAGGAAGGACATGCTCAGGTAGCTCAAGCTGATGGACCTGAAGAAAAAGTCAAGCCTGGAGCTGTAATATTAAAAGATGCTATGAGTAAAATATTGGATGATGCAGGAAGCATCAAAAGACGATGGAAAGAATACAGAGTCATTATATCAAAAGAACTGCTGAAGGGCTATAGACTTTCTATTATGCAGAGTGCATTGAAAAGTAGATCGCTGCAGACGCAGTTAGGTGAAATTTTAATGCATTATCATTGGAACTCCCTTTTGACCCATTTTAAATTTGTTCTAGTTTTTAATATTTTCTACTTTATTTTTGACTGAGGATTTTCTCTGCTTTATTTTGTTTTGTATGTTTTCCTGTATATGAAAATATAGAGACAGTAACTGGATTAATGGTTTCTTGGGGCATGGCAAGGGAGGTTATGGGGAAATGGGGAGCTGATTACAAGGAGTACGAGAAAGAACAAAATGTTCTAAAACTGATGTGGTGATGATTGTGCAAGCTTTTTACATTGGCTTGAACTTATGGTTGTATGATATGTGAATTATATGGCAATAAAATTGTTTTAAAAAAGAACTGAACTATGGAATGATATATGTATTAACTCCTAATTAATGATAATTTTTTTAAAAGAACTGGTTGACACTCAAGCATTCCAAGAGACAGCATAATGATCAAGAACTGATAGTACTGAAACAAAGAAGGCCAAGTGGAGCTGAAAGCATTAGCGAGAAAAAGCTCCAGGAATTGGCGGAATGTCAATCGAAACGGTTCAACGTTTCAACAGTGTTATGATGCAGCACTGGAAGCAATCACTAGTTTATGCCAAGAAATCTAGAAGACGGCTGCCTGGCCAACCTTCAGTCCATTAACTGTTCCATAGAAGTGAGTTGAACTGAACCCTCTGTACTGCTGTGTGCACTAATTAGGTGTGATATTTCTTCTCGTTGTATAACCTATCCTCATATATATAAAAGCATACTTAATTTCCATGCATATGAATTGGAAATGCAATGAAGTTGTAATTATCTAGAAAGATAACAGTCTTGAAAAAATGACCCTAAATCTCTCCCCACCCCATGCAGATGCGATCTTCCCTGCAACAGCCACGGGAGGCCTTTCTCCCGTGTCCGCCCCATGTGTAAACCGCAACCCCCTTCCCAGTCTGTGAGTGCTGAGAGGAGGGTGGGGCCTTGTTTGGCTCCGTGTCTGCAGTACCCAGGGTGACACCGGGTATCTGGTAAACAGCTACACGGTACAGAGAGAACGCAGAAAGGAACACGGAAGGAAGCAAAAAGGACAGGCAGGAAGAATTCAACAAAGAAGGGAAAACAAAGGGGGGGGCAGGGAGGAGATGAGGGTATTCCTCTTAGATGTGTGTTCCAGTTCATTCTAGAGGTTTGCTGATAAGGACTCGTTCCAACCCTGCCCAAGGGGGCTGTGTTTTTTAAAAATCACTTTATTGGGTGCTCTTGCAGCTCTTATAACAATCCATACGTCAATTGTATCAAGCACAGTTTATGTATGTTGCCTTCATCATTTTCTAAACATTGTCTTTCTGTTTGAGCCCTTGGTATTAGCTCCTCTTTTTTTCCTCCTTCCCCCATCCTTGTGACCCCTTGATAAATTACAAACTATTATTATTTTCATATCTTACACCAACTGCTGTCTCCCTTCCCCCACATTTCTGTTGTTCTTCCCTTTTGGGTGGGTGGTGGGGTGTTAAACGTCTATCATTGCGATTGGTTCTCCCCTTTCCTCCCCCTTCTCCCCGCTCCTCCCCCTGCCTTACTCCCATTTCTGTTCCTGGGAGGTTCATCTGTCCTGGATTCCATGTGTCGAGAGCTCTCGTCAGTACTGGTCTAGCTGTATTTGTAAGGTAGACCTGAGGTCATGATACTGGGGGTGAGGAAGCCTCAAGGAACCAGAGGAACGTTGTGTGTTTGTTGGTGTTGTACTGCACCCTGGCTGACTCATCCCTTCCATGGGACCCTTCTGTGACAGGAGCAGGCAGTCTCATAGTTTTTCCTGGGTGGTGGACTTGAACCACTGACCCTGTGGTGGTCAGAAGTCCAATGCTTAACTAACTACACCACTAGGGCTCCTTACAACATGAACAGAGGAGATTTACCCAGGAATGCAAGGTTGGTTAATATGCAATTAAATAAGCTACATTAATTGATCTATTCATCTCTGAAAAGCCTTTGATAAACTTCAACCCAGATTTCTGTTTGAAAAAAAGTAAATGATGACTATGTAAACTGATGGATATTTCCGTAGCATGATTAAAAATATATAAATATTACATCTGAAGCCAGCATTTTATTTAGAGAGGACTCACTAGAGATATTTCCACTAAGATCAAGAACAAGACAATGATGCCCATTATCTTCCCTACTATATTGCTGTTCAAGAGGTCAGAGTTGTTGGATTGGCTGTAAGGCAAGCAGTTCAAACCCACCAAGCAGTCCATGTGAGAAGCAGTGGGGTGACTGCTTCAGCCAAGATTTGCAGCTTAGAACACCCCACCCCCCACATACATCTTTTTCCTTGTGTTAGGTGCAGTCTAGAACACCCCACCCCCACATACATCTTTTTCCTTGTGTTAGGTGCAGTCTAGAACACCCCACCCCCACACACATCTTTTTTCTTGTGTTAGGTGCAGTCTAGAACACCCCA